CTCAAAGGGTCATGAATTCTATGATGAACTCTAGGTGGGATGTCCAGTCTAAACAGGTCAGAAATCACTCATCCTGGTGACTTGCTACCAAGTCTCTCCATTTTTTTCCATTTCTGAATTATAGTTTATTCCAGATATAGTCAAGTTGACAACCAAGAATAGCCATGACAATCCACCCCTTGTCAACTTGACACACAATCAGTTGTCCTTATGTCATGATTAATTTCCAAATGAAAAACAATAGCCAGGTCATAGTTATGTCTAAACATAATGTAACTATCCCACATAAAATGGCAAACACATTATATATTTAGCATAGAGGCAATGTCCCTTGAGGGATATTTTTTCAGTATTTCAAACTTATATCTAATAACAAATGATATTCTTTTAACTGATGTTGCAACATATAATAAAGAAATTGAAAGAACATACAAGTATCTATACAAATACATTATTAACAAAACACAGTGGAAGCACTCATGTAAATTATAATCCTGATTTCTGCAACTGGTCACATGGCCTTAGATGGTATTTAGAAACACCTTCCTCTACAACCAATTCTGTATTCCTTCCACCCTCTGCAAGTCTCCCCATTTTTGAAATAAAAAGTACAATAAAAAGAAAGAAAGGAACTGGGGCACGTGGAGGTGAATTTGCCCGTGGGTTAGCCCGAAGGTGGGGGTGGTGAAGATGGCGTCCGTTCAGCTGGCCTTTGCAGCCTGTATTTGTACTGTTTCACTCTTTCTATTCCGTCTCTTACTGGGATTCTGGAGTGGTATGGCCTTGGAGTCCACCCTGGGGCAGCCAAGGGCCGAGGAAGCTGACACTGGGCTGTGGGGTGATGCCCTCACTGCCCAGATTTTCTGTTGCTCCTGGCAGACTTGCCATTCCGCCTCAGCCATTAGCTATTTATTTTTAATTTGTTATTGCATTGTGTGTGTGTGTGTGTGTGTGTGTGTGTGTGTGTGTGTGCACACGAGCGCGCACGCACGCACACACGTACAAGTGAGTGTGCACTGGCACATACACATCACAGTACCTGTATGGAAGTCAAGACAACTTAATGGGAGTCAGTTTTCTGCAGCATGTAGGGTCCAGGGATGGGACTCAGGCCATCAGATTCGGTGACAAGTGTCTGTAGTGAATCATCTCACTGACCCCTTATTTTGATTTTTGAGATAGCCCGCTATATGGCTGAGGGTGGTCTTGAACTACTGATACTCCTGCCTCCACCTCCCAAATTCTGGGAATATAGGAATATTCTGCTTTCCTTTTTCTTTCTTTCTTTCTTTCTTTCTTTCTTTCTTTCTTTCTTTCTTTCTTTCTTTCTTTCTTTCTTTCTTTCTTTCTTAGAGTGAGTAGTTGACTGTTTCGTATCTGCACGTTTTTCCATTTACTCACCTTGGCAGTAGGCTCCTGGATTGCCTTTACTGTTTGTGATTCCTCCAGCATTATTGGAAATAATGCTGCTGTCAACAGGAGTGTTCAAGACCTTGTGTTCAGGCTTTTGTGTAGATACCCGGCCATGGAATTACTGGTTCATTGCAGTAATTCTGTTTCAGTTTTTGAGAACAGCCATAATGTTTCTATACAGCTGCATTGCCACCAGCCATATACAGAAGTTCCACTTTCACGACCGTTTGACTTGATGAGGCGCCATTTACAGTTGTACCTGATAGTTAACAGTAGAGGCTCTATGTGGGGGTGCGGATGTAACCTGGATCCACCGTACCAGGTGGAGGCACACAGAGGGAGCCCTTTGTTTCTCAGAGCTCACAGGTCAGTCTGTTTCCTGCTACTTCCTGCTAGCCCTGGCTTTTAGTCATGCTGGTGTCCTAACAGAGCACCAGAAGCTTCTATAAGCGCCTACTTAGAGAAGACTGGGATTTTTTTTTTTTTATAAACTACTGGATATGTTTATGCCAAAGGCTTTTTTCCAAATACAAGATTATTTCCTTATGGTGAGTTCCCAGAACTAGTACCTGCTACGTTAAATAATAGCTGATATGGCATAAAAGCTTTTCAGCAGGGCTGGTAGGAGGCTCGGTGGTTAAGGTAGCACTTGAAAGCCTGAGAGTCTAAGTTGGCTCTCCTGGATCCGTGTGCGGGAAGGAGAGAGGGGGCTCCTGCGAATTGTTCTTTGATGACCACATTTGTGCCGGAAGTGTAGTTCCCAACACCCCCCACACGTGCACACACACATAGTGGATAAATCTTTTCTGTTTGTTTGTTTGTGTTTTGAGATAGGGTTTCTCTATGTAGCTGACTGTGTACCTTGCTCTGTAGACCCGGCTGGCCTTGAACTCACAGAGATCTGCCTGCCTCTGCCTTGAGTACTGGGATTTAAGGCGTGCGCCACCACCACTCAGTTTGTGAATAAATCTTAAAAAACAAAAGTTATGCCTATATAGGACACTTGTGGTGACTGGCTCTTCTAGGACTAGAGCTTGTTCTGGCTGAGTCTGTGAAGGCCCAGGACAGTAGGATGCACTACTGTAGACTTTATAAACACTGACATGTAGGCCACACTCAATTTCCAGAAACCATTTTCTTCAATAATTAATTAACCTTAAATGACTATGATATTTTTACTTTATAAACTTATTTTTTGCATATGTATGTAGTGTGTATAGTGTGGGTACGTAAGTATATGTGAGTTGGGGAGGCATGAACGTGTGTGTGTGTGTGTGTGTGTGTGTGTGTGTGTGTGTGTGTGTGTGAATGTATCTCATTGCTCTCATGTTTCATCCTAGAAGACATGGAAGACAGCTGTTCCCTTGGAGCAGCTCCGTTCTCTGGTCAGACAAACCCTCTTTGGCAGGAGAAGCCTCTGTATGAAATGGTCCGGACCAAGCCAAGCCCTTCGGGGAACTTTAAACACTGAATGATCTTGTTGTTTGGCTGTTATTGCCTGCACAGCCTGCTTTGAAAAAGAAATCTGACAGGCCCAGGTCATGTGTTTATCCTAAGGCTGGCCCATTCCAAACTCATGTTTCAGAGTGACGAGGTTGTGTCCAGCCGTCCTGGTGGGTGGTAATCAAACACAGGTGGGAACCATCTGCCTAGCTCAGCCCCTCCTCCTCAGCCGAGGGAGAACTGGCCTGCCCACCACAGAGCTGGCTTAGAAAGCACCCTGTGTGGAGACAGATGGTGTGCACATGTGTGTGCATGAATGCACACTCATGCATGTGTGTGCATAGAGCCCTCCTCAGTGAGGAGATGTGGTGTGAGCATAAATGGCTCAGTGACTTCTCTCTCTGCACCCATGGATCCTCTCCATTGTGCGGTCTATAACGCATATGTTCCTTTTAGTCTGTTTCTCACGTTTTTGTGGTTAGAAATCATGTGTTTTCCTTGGCCCAAGATGAGAGCCCTGGAACAATGGTCTAATGCACTTTACAAAGCTGTCTCTAATTGGTGGTGCCCTAGTGACCCATCTCCCTGTGTGGAGCTTTGTTTGGTTGATTTCTGAGACAGGGTCTCACTGCGTAGCTCTGGCTAGCCTCGAACTCACTTGGCTCTATCTCTCCAGTGCTGGCATTAAAGGGTGCTTACCACCGTGTCCCAGCCTTTTCCAGAGCTTTAAGTCAATCTCCTAGAGCTCTGGATTTTCACCCTCTTCCAAACCTGAGGCCTCTGGGAGGCAGTGCATCTTGATCACTAGCTATTCCCACAGATTCTGTTTGGTCTTGACCCCAGCAGGGCAATTCATCAAGGAAACAAATAGTGTAAATAGTGTCACTTTAAGCAATTTCTGACCTTGCCTCCAGGAACCCATGTGTACCCTCTAAATGGATTCTGCATCCACCTGGTAACCAGAAAACTAATCAAACCACGCACACTTCCTTGAGTGCAGTTGGATTTGACTGTGATGATTTCTGAGGATGCAGCTTCTCAGAGGTGCTCTCTCCCACAGTGGTGCCTGGGGCTGGTCTGCTGGGCCTACCCAAGCACACCAAGTGGAAGCTGTGGCGGCTCTCGGCAGTGTCTTTCTACCCAGTCTCCCATCCTAGCCTCTTGGGGATGATGACAAAAGATACCACGAGGAAGGAGTTCCAGGGTTGAACACTGATTGTGTCTTCGGCTCTCAAGAGGTAGAAGGAAGGTGTTGGCTGTCATTTTAGTGTATGGTTTGTGTTTGTATGCTGGGGAGTTTACATGTGTATAACCCTTGTGGTTCCTGTTTGGACAAGATATAATTACCGAAAATTACATGTACATATTTTAACTCTTAGCCTTTCTCATCCTGGCAGGCTTTGAGGAGCTTTTGGGGACTCCTCCCTGGACACTTCCCTCACCTGAGTAGGTGTGGCGCACACACACACACACACACACACACACACCCAGGTTCTGCTCTTGAATAGACATCACTCCCCTCTCTGGCAGTCACCTGTGTCAGGGACTTCCCTGAGACTGCACTGTTCTCCTTTGGGGTCCAGTGACTGAGGCATGCTCATGGAGGGTTAGAGCGAGTAGTGCTCACTGATAGGGTGGTACTGGCCTTAGGAAGAGGGTGGACCCACTCAGTATTTGCAGTCTGCCTTGGGACTTGTCTACAGTGCTGACTTAGGAGACTAGTCAGTGCAGCTAAGAATGGTGTCCCTGGAGGTGGAGAGGAAGAAGGCCACGTCTTCCCCAGCACACAGCCATACTGTTGGATCATAGGACATGTATCCTTAGCAAATTCAGTGGGTACTTATTAGCAGTTTGAATAAGTGAGGAACATAAGATTTTCAGTAGTGTTCTGTCATATAAAAGGAAGGTTCTAGAAATCATAAAATCTGGAACTTATGACTCAAGAGTACCAGTGTAGAAGTTTGACTGGGCCAACATCATACATGTACACCCTCAGCTCACTGGAGGGTAAAGCAAGCTTTGGAGAGACTTCTTCACCCTGGCATTCCCTTTGAGTTGAGGAAATCCTGTGGAGGCCACCACACAGAGACTTTGTAGACTTTGTCCTGTGGTAGTTAAACTGAAAATGTTTTCATTCCTTTCAGGTTTACAGGAACAGATGGACCGAGTGGTTTTGGCTTTGAATTGACATTTCGTCTGAAGAGAGAAACTGGGGAGTCTGCCCCACCAACATGGCCAGCGGAGCTGATGCAGGGCCTGGCTCGATACGTCTTCCAGTCAGGTAATAGCCCAGAGGCTGGCGGGTCTGCTGGTCCTGTGCCCATCGGCCTGGTGGGCTTTGGGAACTTGCAGGTGTATTCTGATGTCTACAGAGTGCTTTCATGGGTGGGAAGCCGTGTGGACTTAGCAGAGACTCGGCCAGTGTCCCAATAACCTAAGGCTTTGTTGCTGTCTGTCATAACTAGCCTGTTCCCTGTTCCCAGTGGCCTGGCTGTCTCTGTGTCTATTTCCAGCCCTCAAGCACATAGGCTAATCTTGGCTCAGCCTGGGAGAATAATAGGGACTGGAACTTGTTCCTTTCCCTCACAGGGTGGAGAGGATGCTAAAATCAGAACTGAGTTAGATTATTCAAATGCCCTCCAAGAGGTTGGTTGTCCTTTGCTCCTCGTGCCCACCGGGGACTGCTGCAGTGGATCTTGGGTAAGGCCTTTGTGCTGGAAGTGATGCTCTTACTTTCTCAGCTCATTCTGCCAGTCTCCTCCAGCCTGTGAAGGCGTCATAGCTCCCGAATAGTGCAGAGAGTTCCGAGTATTTGTGTGACCTAGATTTTTCTATCTTTGATTTGGTATGGCCTCTCCCCCTTCACTCTTCCTCTCCATCCTTTCCTTAGTATACATAATGGCCTTGACCAGCCTGAACCCCACCTCTCAGCCTCCAGATGCTAGGATTACTGGGTCACACCAGAGGGGGTGGGGAGAGAGAGAAAGGACATAGGGATTGAATCTGGGGTCTTGTACATAAAGGCAAGAGCTCTGAAACTGACCTGTATCTAGCATACTCTATTCTTTACTTTGAGACAGGGTCTCATTAAGTTGTCCGAACTCACTCTTTAGTCCGATTTCAGGCCTGTGCCACCAGGTCTAACTTTCAAAATAGATTTTTCTTTGTTGTAAAATTTGATCTGCTGTGGGAATGAGGGCTCTAATGATGAGGTGTACGCCACTTCTTGTTAATATATTCATTTTTGTACCTGCTTAGGTAGATAGAGATGAGGGAAATGTAAAATGCATGTTACAAAATGCTAATAATGTCTAATGTGAAGTAATTTTGACATTATAATGCAAATCATTATTTTATTTTGCCTTTTTTGGGGGGAAGAACCACAGAGTCTTATATATAGCCCAAGCTGGCCTTGAACTCTCAATCCTCCTAAACTGGTTAAAACGGATGTCAGGGGACTGGGGACATGGCTCCATAGGTAAAGGTGCTTGCTGCCACCCGGCCACCTGAGTTTGATCCCTGGGACCCGTATGGTGGGGGAGAGCCAGCTCTCAGGTTGTCCTCTGACCTCCATATGTATGCTAGGGCATGTGCCCACACACATATACATACAAATAAATGTAATTAAAAAAAATTGTGAGCCAGGCAGCAGTGGCACATGCCTTTAATTCTGGCACATGCCTTTAATTCTAGCACTTGGGAGGCAGAGGCAGGCGGATCCAGGACAGGCACCAAAACTACACAGAGAAACCCTGTCTCAAAAAAAAACAAACCAAACCACAACAACAACAAAAAAAAATTGTTAAGGAGCCAGTGAGATGGCTCGGGGGCAAGGTGCTTACTGCCAAGCCTGAATTTGATCCCTGGAACCCAGATGCTGAAGAGAACCAGCTCCTTCAAGTGTTCTCTGACCTCCACATGTATGTCATGGTGTGCATTTTCATCCTCAGTAAATAATGTGTTTTAAAAAAAAAAGTTTTTAGGAGACAGGAACTCAAAGAATCACTCTACAGATTACTTATTTGTTGATAAGAGGAAGAAGAGGGACCAGAGAGATGGCTCAGTGGTTAAGAGCACTGTCTGTTCTTACAGAGGACCTGAGTCCAGTTCCCAGCACACACAGGGTGGCTGACAACCTCCTGTAACTCAAAGTTCCAGGGGATCCAACTCCCTTTTCTGGCCTCCATGGGCTTTGAGAACTCATGGGTGTACAGACATATATGCAGGCAAAATACTCATGCACATAAAACAAACAAACAAAAAATACATTTGAGAGAGAGAGACAGAGGGACAGAGGGACTATCCTGACAAAGGAAGATCAGAACGGATGTCTCCTTTGAAAGGATCAAGTTCGGCCACACTGATCGCCAAGTGTTACTTTGTATCTCTCTGTCCATGCTGTACATGGACAAGCCAAGTAGGAGAAGGTAGCTGAGGAACACTTTTCCAAACAGGTTGAACCCAGATCCAAGTAAGTTGCAGCCAAATGTGGCCACACTGTGGGACATTCTACAGTGCACTTTCCTAGATTCCTGTACCCAGCTAGGACTGTCCCCAGTTCAAGGAAACTTGGTGGTTTACATGCAGTGTTTGATCCTTGATTCAACCCTGGGAGAAAAAGGTCGTTTGTAGGACAGCTGGGAAAAGTGAATGTGACTGTGTGTTAGACATCAGCATTGCACCACAGTGAAGTTCCTTGTGGGGTTGTGGGGTTGTATAAGATACTGTCAAAGGCTGAAATGACTGTGGATAAAATACTAAATGATTCAGCAAAAAAGTAAGATATGTGGGAGAAAGCAAGTGTGAAATGTTATTTGTGGTCAAGATGGAAGGTGTCTGGATATTCATTTTACTCCTCACTTCCCTGTAGGAAATGTTTGCACTGAAAGTCGTGCCTCTTCCCTAAGTGTGTGTTGACCACTGTGTGCCCTCCAGTCCCTTCTGCACCAGTGGCCCCCACAGCTTCCCCACTGCTGTCAGTCGTGCCTGCAGACCCCACCAGGCACTTCAGAACAACAGGGTGACTCCACTCTTAACGCGTAATACCCGGCTTTCTGGTTTCCGGACTGTCTATGACAGCATCGTACTTTTTAAGTAACAGGTAAATCAGGCAGTGGTAAATCACACCTGTCTTCCCGGCACCAAGGCCCTGAGCTGAAGGCCAGCGTGGGCTGTATAGTGAAATTCTGCCTCACAACAAAACAAAACAACACCAACCAATTAAATGGTTAAACAAGTCTACTTCAAGTGCTGTTTTGGAACTTGGCAGAGAATAATAGTGAGTTATTGAAACACAGGAAAGTGATGAGAAGCCAATGGTCCCTGATTTTAGGCTAAGGCCTAAATGGTGGTGAGGACAAGAGCTGAGACATTAGTGTACCTGTGTGCCTCTAACACACAAAGGGTAGCACCAGGTTTTGGCTTTTTGATTTTATTTTATTTTGTGTTTAGAGACAAAATCTCTCTATGTAACCCAGGCTGAGTACTCGACATTCTCCTGCCTTAGTTTCTTGAGTGCTAGGCCACTATATCAGTTTAAGTACTTTTTTTTTTCTTTTTCATACTGGGGATGGAGCACAGGGCCATGTCAGCCTTACATGCAGAAGACAACATCGAGAAGGTTAGTAACACGTTTAAGATTACGGCTCTCCTAGGTGTGAAGGCAGGACCTGAGCCCAGGCAATGAAGGAAGTACGCTTTACCTGCTAGTGTGCTGACAGGAGCTCTGCGGACATCTGGTCTACCTGATGTCGCAAGCTGTACAATGAGAAATTTGAAACTCCTCTATGTGGATGAATGCTGCTTATTCACATGGCCATTCTGCTCTGGGATAGCTCGTCAGGGTCAGGCAGCACTGATGCTCAGCAGGGTGACAGTCTGTAGCTCTTGAAAAACAGAGCAGGGTAAGAAAAAGCATTTATAAAATCTCCCAAACCTCTTAAATATGTATCTTTTATTTTTAAAGCCTTGATGTGTGCAGCTGCATGTGTGTGGGTGCACATGTGTGTGGGTGCACATGTGTGTGGGTGCACATGCGTGTGGGTGCACATGCGTGTGGGTGCACATGCGTGTGGGTGCACATGCGTGTGGGTGCACATGTGTGTGGGTGCACATGTGTGTGGGTGCACATGTGTGTGGGTGCACATGTGTGTGGGTGCACATGCGTGTGGGTGCACATGTGTGTGGGTGCACATGTGTGTGGGTGCACATGCGTGTGGGTGCACATGTGTGTGGGTGCACATGCGTGTGGAGGTTAGAGAACAACCTTGGCTGTTGCTCCTCAGGAGCCATCTGCCGAGTATATTTGATGACGTATTTTTATTTTATGTGTACCTATCTGTGAGTGTCTGCATGTATGTATGTGTGCCACATGTGTGCCTGGTGCCTTCAGAAGCCAGAAGAAGGCATCAGATTTCCTAGAACTAGAGTGACAGCCTGGTGTAAGCCACCATGTCGGTGCTAGAAACCAAATCTGAGTCCTGTGTAAGAACAGCAAGTACTCATCACTGCAGAGCCATTTCTGCAGCCCCCAGGTTATTTTTTGAGTCAGCGTCTCATTGGCTTGTGGCTCACAGAGACTGCTGGGCCAGCAAGCCCAAGCTCTGCCTGTCTCCTCCTTCAAGTGATGGGACCACAGGTGTGTGCCACCACATCCAGCCTTTTCTTCTAACTTTTTATTCATGAAAAATTTATGTACAAAGTGCATGTGTAACTGTATAGCGTGATGAGTCTCCACAAACTGAACAGACCCACATAGCCAACACCCAAAGAGAAATCAGCTGGTCCTCCGGAGTCTGTGCACGCACCTGTTGGTCTCGTCCCACTTGACTCCCAGCACCTTCTCCCCCTCCTTCCTGCCGCTGCTGCATGGTTCTTATTTGATCTTATAGGCCTGTGATCTTAGGATGGTATGGAACCAGGCAGGGGTGGCACACACCTTTAATCCCAGCACCTGGGAGGGAGAAGCAGGTGGATCTCTGTGAGTTTGAGGCCAGCCTGGTCTACAGAGTGAGTTCCAGGACAGCCAGGACTATACAGAGAAACCTGCCTCAAAAAACCAAAAAGAAAAAAAAGGACTGCATGGATCAGCAGGCTGGTTTGCCAGGTTGTGGTGGTGTGTATTTGGTCATGTCTTACTTGTGCCTCTGCCAGATGCCTGCCTAACAGACAGTGGACATTTGGTGCATTGTCTTGCCCTAATGCAGAAAATCAGCAGTAGTGATACAAATACAATTGCTTGATTTGTATATCACATTATAAACCAAACTTGGATCAGATGTT